TTGAATATTTATTCAACATTTGTTATATTGTTATTGAAAAAAATTATATTGCGATAATTATTGTTATTGTTTTATTGTCCAGCCCTACACAGTCCTAGTACTTAAGTGTCTGTAAAGGACCCTTAAATGAAAATAACTAACTGCAGTTAGAATAAAATAGGTACTGCATGTCGGTCTCAGAGAGTGTTTGGTCTTGGTGATTTGGTCTGAATCTGTTAAATAACAACGTCCCATTCATTTAAATATAACAGATGGAAATAAAAACAGCAGGGAAATAAATGTCCCCGGAAATAAATAAATGTGGAATTATTAAATAACAATTTAAACTAATCTTTTTGCCTAAATAAGAGTAAAATAGCTGAAATGGAAACAAAAAGAAAAGCAAACTGCTTAAGGGAGGGCATTCTGCTACTGGATAAAACAGATATTAAGGTTAAGGGTCTGTTTGCTCAGTCATTCCACAAAAAGGAACACAAATAGTACAGGGTACGGTCTAGACCTGCTCGGTTTGAAAAGAGCAATAACTTCTGTTATGAATGGGCTCTGTATCGATAAAACTGAATCCCAGAAGGAGTGTATTTTCTCCCTTCTCTGTATTGCTGCCATGTACATATTCTCAACCCCCTCAAGAGGCCCCTGGACTCTTGAGGGGGTTATTATGTGGTGTGGACTATTTTTAGCCCACACCACATAATAAAGACAGTATCTGTGTTCTGTTAGCTGTGTAATAAAAGTGTAAGATGTTTACTTTTATTTTTCACTCAAATCCAAAATGTCAGTTTAATTAAAAAAAAAAAAGGCCTTGACCTAGTAAGGCTGTTTTTAGTTTCTACAAACTGCCTGATGAGTTGCATCACAAATGTGTCTACATTCAAAACCTTCCTGGTTTCTGAGGCTCCTGATTGGTGACTCTGTGCGTGTTTGTAACTTTCTTTGCTGCATTTTATTAATGGTATTGCTCTATACATACTGTATTCATTTAAATGTACAGCATGTTGAGTTTACCTGTAATGTAATATGTGTGGAAATAAATCTGCCTTACCGCCTTACTGCCCTACAACTCACCGCGCCTCTGCAGCCTGCGGAGCAGCAGTGTTACTTTGTTATACTACAGAATACATTTCTCATGGATTTATTATGATTGCATGTTGCCTTTGAGATGGATTCTGATAATCCCAGTTAGTGTAGGAGTGTCTTAGTCTGCTGCTTTTGTTTGGTTTTGCTCCTGCTTCCCAATGGAGACCAATTATTTAACTGAATCTCATTTTAAAAAGGCAGCTGATGTGGGCGTCCATCTGGCTGCTTCATGTCAGTCTCAGTATTACTGTATTCATGTAGAAGGGTTCACAAATTTCTGGATTTATATTTAAATGACTCTCTCCATGCAAAATATTTATCATTGTATATAAATGTAAAACAAACCCATAAATTAAAAAACAAAGGTTAACACATGTATTTCTGATCCACACACACAAATCTTTCTAGTTTCATTAAACACAATAAAAATCCATAAATATAAACTCAGCAAAAAAAAAAAAGAAACCCTTTTTCAGGACACTATATTTTAAAGATAATTAACAAAAAACAACAAATAATTCTACAGATCTTTATTGTAAAGAATGTTTTTCATGCTTGTTCAATGAACCTGTGAAACGGTCGTTAAGACCCTTAGAGCATACAGGCAGTTAAGGTCACTTTGAAAACTTAGAACACTAAAGAGACCTTTCTACTGACTAGAAAAACCAAAGAAAGATGTCCAGCGTCCCTGCTCATCTGCGAGAACACGCTACAGCGACACAGGAAGGACAGCTGATCGTCCTCACAGTGGACGACACATGCGACACCTGCACAGGGCCACACCAGATACTGATTGTTACTTTTGTTATTTTGACCCCTCCTTTGTTCAGGAAATCATTTTTCCATTTCTGTTATTCACATGTCTGTGAAACTTTGTTCAGTTTGTCTTAGTTGTTTGAATCTTTTTATGTTCATATAAATATTTCCATGTTAAGTTGCTGGAAAATAGAAGCAGTGAGAGTGAGAGGACATTTCTTCTTTTTTTATGCAGAGTATATGTATTTAAAAGTATTTGCAAATTTAATTAAAAACCTGTTTGGATGTTATAAACGGCTTGTCATGTGCATTTGTGTGTGGGTGTTTTGAGACTCCCCTGCTATGGCTCGATTCACAAATGCATTTTTATAATTATCTGTAGCAAGTAAGTTTTGGGGGCGTCATAATAATGTATTCATGCAGCCTGGTAGCTGATCTCCACAGGTAACTAGGGTTGGGTATTGTTTAAAATTTTACTATACAAGTACCAAACCAAGTACCCTTAAAGTGATACCAATACCAATTTAGTACTTCATTCGATACCTTGCATAAAATGTCACCTGATTGGTAGCTTATAATTATTTTTATTGTTGTTATGGACAAGCAAGGTTATCTATTTAATATTTTTCTTGTTTCAAATAACTGCTAGAAGTATTGGGAAATTTTATCACATCGCTCCCCATCCTAATTAGGTCATCCTCACTGGTAGTATTTGCCCATACGGGGAAAACTGCAGCTTGGGAGGCATTTTATATTTGAATGAGAGAGGAGTGAAATAGTTTAGTGACCAAATAAGATGTGGGAAACAAATTTTTTGTGTTGAAAGTTAATTGAAAGATCACCCCGAGTGCTTTTTTCCTTCAGTGGGGAGCCGCAAACCTCCGAAAATACGAGTCACAAGAATAAAACAAGAAAGCCTTCTATTTAAACAAGTCACTAATCTACGCTAAAGCATCCCCCAGCTGCAACCGGAGGCTCCGTCAGTAAAATCAGCTGATCGGTGACAAGTGATGTTAATAGCAAATACAAATATACAGAGAAGTGTTAACTGATACCAGAAGATGAAACCAACGGAAAGCCGAGCTTGTGGTGATAAACAGGGACGAACATGCCTGAGACCGCAGCCGAAGGTGAGCGGCTGTTAAAATCACGCTTGGACTCCGCGCGCGCACCTTTTTTATTTATAAAGGCGTGCTCTTCTCGTGTGTTGCTTACGTGTTTGGCTGTAAGCAAAATCATACAATTAGTCATTTTTTGCCGCGATCTGGTTACAAAAAGTAGGCCTAGGTATCGATTGAAGTACCGGTTTGACTGGAGACGTTTCGATTCTACTCGATACCGGGCTGTTTCGGCCGGAACCATAAAGGTACAGAGAAGCGATACCCATCGCTACAGGTAACGCTCCTTTAGTACATGATTAGATAAGTCTGAGTTATCAGTGAAAAATTTAATTTTAAATTTTACCTTTTAAGTCTTCTTTAGGCCTTTTAGTCCGAGGTTACTTTTCAAGTTTTAAGAAATAAATCGTGTCTGACGGACCTCTCCCTGCCCCGCCACTAATCGTTCAAAACATAATCGGACTCGCCACCGGAACCCCCCCACAGAAATGAAACAGCTGTAACTAGATTTAATATTCAACTAGTGGTAAAATAGTATACTATTATATAAAATTATTGTTATACTAACTGTAAACTATTTGCTGATCCTTATACTCTGTATTTAATGTATATGTAATGTACATACACTCATGTATACTAGTTCCTCCTCTAGGTTGTGGATAATGTAGATTTAGCCAGAGCCAGGAAGCCAGTGTGCCAATATGAGCTCCTCCTAACCGCCTCCTGACAGCAACACACTCCCCTTCTTTTACATCTGTTTTACTCGTTATTGTTATAAATATTGTTTATCGATCAATTTTGTTTAAGTTGAGAAATACACATTTCAAAATGTCAGTATTTTGTGCATTTTTCTTGATAATCAAGCAAGTAGACCGTTTGTTCCATTATAATCGAATCGCAATATTGTCCACAGTAGTCGCAATATGACTTTTTCTCCAAATATATGATATATCTCAGTAGAATAAACAGATTCCCTTCAGTCTTGCTAAACTTGTTCATGCTCCCATGTAGATAAAAGCTTTTCATTTTAGTACCACACTTTTGTGGATATTTAGTAAGGCTACAGCAAATGACCGTCAGGACCACAACACCTGTTGCCACATTTACTATAAGGATGTAGCTGAGCTGGTTTAAATGAAGAGCCACTAGAAAGGACCTTATATTGGGATGTTAAGACACAGCTGGGAAAAGAAACGTGTTCTCTGTTGCTGAGCTGGGAATATTGCAGAGGAGAAGACACATTTGATACTGCAGTCCTATACTGTATGTGAGGGAGTTTGAGTTTACAAGCCTGATGTCAGCAGTTCAACAAAAAGATCAGCAACATAATTAAACAGGGGAGAGTTCTGTTCATTCTCAAGATGAATCTCAACAGACTGTAAACTAATAAAATGTCAGGTGCAGCAGCTATTTGTGTAAAATTCCATTTCAAATTTCTAACCCCACAGTTTGGGCTCTAACATACATGTTGTGTTATCAAATAAGCAATCTGACTTCTTAGCACCCAAAAGAGAGCCACAAATCCTTAGTTAATATCCGCAAGACCCTTCAGTAGACTATTGAAATAATAAACAGTGATCAAGGGTGAAAAAGGTGAGAAACCCACACATCCCCAAGGGTTAGCTTGATTAAATGTCTCATGTTCCAGAACATCATTGCTTTCCTAAAGCAAACTGTTCCATTACATTGTGGTTTTGACAGTATTAGCCTTTTGGATGGAACTATCAGGGTCTAGCATTAACATGAAGTTGGCACATTGGCCTAGGAGATCAGCTTATGTTGTAATCATCAGCAAAATGGTAACATTAGTAACGTTACACAAGCAGTCCCAGAGCCCAAATGTCAGGAATGTTGGAATATCAAGTATGCCAGCTAATGTTAGACTCCATGGAAATAACATTAACACCTAATGTTACAGCCAAATTGTGATGGCGACCGTTTGATAAACCATGACAACTCATCCTTAAGATCAGGGTGAAGTGGGATAGATTACTTAAAACGTTGACACTGTCTGGGGTAGAGAGTATGAAAGGAGAAAGTGAACGCAAGTTATCACAGTTAAGACTTTTATTTTTCACTACCCCTAAAATAACTTACAATAACTTAAATACAAAAATTGAAGCTAGCTACAAAATATCCAGCCAAACATCAGGAGCAGGAGCAGGATGTGTACAAAGAGATTCTGAGCATGCTGTTGCTTTATTTCTGTTTGTATGTGTTAACATGAAGTGTTGCTGATGCTGAGGCAGCTGCTGACGTGGACCAGGAAGCATCATCTATCTCTGACATGTGGTTGCTAATATTATACTGGCCGTCACTGGGAGTCCTTTCACCTGAACCCGGTCTAATGTGGAGATATTCATTATTGCTTATGGTGTCAAGCTTTGGCTTCAGTGCACAATTATCAGCACTACTGTTCACTGACGTGTCGGTCAAACCTTGTCTGTGCATTAACTCCTCTGGGTGAGGGGGGCTGTGATGGGGGAGTTAAGAGTGGGGAGGACCACTCCCTGTCTTTGGAGATGTTTCAGGATGTCCAGGATGGAGTCCAGCTCCAGACGGAACGCCTCCAGCTCTCTGCTCTTGTCCTGAGCCAGACGCCTCCAGCGCTCCACCTCTGACTGCTGATCAGCCTCTAGCGTCTGCCAGGACCCACCAATCACCTGCAGGGGGGGGGGGGGGGCACTTTATGCTACATATCACCGTACTTGCCAAACCAGGGAGCCATTTAAACATTACCTTAAGCTTCATTTAAACAGTAACTTACCTGCTGCAGCTCCTTCTCTCTGTGCTGGTGTCTGAGCTCCATGTTGAGGATCTTCCTCTCGAGGCTACACAGGAGCTTCACCTCTGGGCTCTGAGCATCAGTAGCTTCCTTTAGCTCTTTCAGCAGTGTGGTCAGCTAAACACAAAGTGGGAGCAGTGAGTTCATGTTAAAACGCTAAACAAAGCAATGGACTTTTTATCCTGGTTAAATTGAAATGTGATAATCCAGCACACTTTCTGTGTTTATGGTTCAAAAGATGCTGGATGGCCTAAAATGCGCCTGACTGTGTCACTGTGACAATGCTGACTTCACTATTTGGAGGTCATGTTTCAGGTGGCATTCAGGTGGTTTATGTTTGCTAATAATAAAATCAAGACAAAACTTTATCACATGAGGGCTATTGCAATTAATCGAATTCGATTCGGCTTCCAACGATTAGAAAAACAAGTTAATCGATTTAAAACGATTAGGCCTATTTTTGTGCACACTGTTTCACAATAAAACTCCTTTTCGTCTTGTGTTATAAATCCAGCGTACCCTTTCTTTTACTGCGGCGCCCCCAACCCTCCCTAAAAGCCTAAACTCACTGTCAGCAGGCTGTTGCATGTTTACTTTAGCTTGAGCCGAGAAGACGGGGTGATAACTGCTACAACTTGCTGTTCACCGTTATCAGCTTCAAGCCTGTCTGTATTTTACACTGCAAAAATTAGCCTAGCGGCTAGCTGAATCTCCCAATGGGACGCCACTGTTCAGCGTTTTGTAAAATAACGAGGTGTTGTCAACTCAAATACTTCACCTCTGCTCCACTCCGTGTGTGTGTGCGCACTGACACACACACACAGCGTTGCTGTCTGGCTCGAAGATGCTGTATAAAGTTTAGGATATTTGATTCCTATTTCATTAGATATTTTGGATAATACATAATTATTTTTAAAACATGAAGCATTTCGTTTTAAAAGTTCAATAAATGCATGTTATTTCCTCAGTCAGTCAATAATTGTGTTAATAATTGTGATTTCAATTATGACCAAAATAATCGTGATTCAGATTTTTGCCATTATCGAGCAGCCCTATATCACACATAAATCCAGGAGACAAAAAATAAGCTGAAGTCTTCTGCCATTAAATATTTCTTGCAGGAAAAAGAATGGACCACCACCTGCTTCTGCAGAACATCCTCTCGGGTCCTGGATACCTTCAGTTCTTCTTTAGCTCTCTGCAGCTCTTTCAGCTGCTCTTGCAAATGTTTCACCATCAACTGCAATTAAATGTGAAGGTTAGAGCTACGGGATCATTTTCAGGATTATCTGTTGACATGAGACTGGTTGCTTTAGTGAGCCAGTACCTCCTGAGTGTTAAGCTTATTGGCCAGTTCAGCAACCTTAGAGGAGGAGTGTTCCAGGGCATGGGTGGCACGCAGTTGGTCTAACACCCTGAGGTGTTCTGCTTTCAAAGAGGACAGCTGCTCTGCAGAGTCCTCCTTTAGCCTAGCACATCACACCACACTCAGTTATTTCACATCCATGCTCTGCAGAACACGTCAATTAATGTGTTCACTCCCGACACACACACCTGCACAGCTCCTTCACGGCTTGTACAGCATCAGCCCTTAACGCCTCCTTGTCCTGCTCACTCTGCAGCTCCAGCAGGTCCAGACGCTGCTTCAGAGCCTCGTTCTCCTGCAGAACTTCTGAGATGTGACTGCCTGTCAAAAAGATGCAACAATAAAAGGCAATGGCAGAAACTGAGGCTCCCTCAGCCATGGGAGACCGTACAGAGCCATTAAACATATAGCAGACATGAGAGCAGTGATGCAAACTAACCTCTACCTTTATGTACCATTCAGTCTTTCACTGAGATTTCCTCATGACTGTGGTCAATTTCAGAAACAAGTGTGTATTTTTTTTTTAAGTAGCTAAGTTTTTGTAATACTCTATTGGTTTTTCATTTTTATAAGCAACAAAACAAAACAAAACACAAAAGTCCCACCCCAAACTAACAGTGAGTGATGCGCTATATATTTCTACATGTACATAAAATAAGTAAGTAAATAAAAACACGACAAGGGACAGGTAAACAAAGAGCACTTTCATGAAATAAGTGAAAGGACAAACAGTCCTCATCGTCCAGGGACAGATGGTAAGCTATAGCTTCTGTAAAAAAGAATGCAACGGTTCCCAGATCCTCCAAAACTTGTCCGATTAGTTATTAAGGTCATGAGTCAACTTCTAAAGAGGAATAAGAGCAGAAATCTGTGATATCCACATGTCAAACTGTAGGGATCTGGGGAGTTCGCAACCGCAGCAAGATACATTTTTTAGCCAAAAACAAAAGATTTATCAACAGACATTTGGTGTCCGTGTCCGAGAGCTTGTCTGGAGTATGGTTAAGTAGACACAAAGATGATCATTGATTCTGTCACATGACCAAAACAAGTGGATAAATATACCTTTGTGTAGATTACATTTATAAGAAAGGTTGGAGGTGTCAGGGAACATTCTCTGGAGGCGAACAGGTGTAATAAGTTTGGTTTAGTTCTGTTCATGTATAGAGATTGAAGTACATTTAGGGAAAACCCCGCTGCAGATCTTGTCCCAGTCTACATATTGAACATCACCTCCAGATCACGCTCCCACAACAGCTTCAGAGAGTCATAGCCTGAAGAATTAGAATAAAGTAATGAAGTATACATCTCGGAAATCAGTCCTTTGGGAGATTTGTCCAGAAGTATAATGTTTTCTAGCTCTAACAGTCTCAAGACGATCCCGCCTGTCCTCAAGAGAGACCCTATAAAGTGACGAATTTGGAGATATTTATAAAAATCTTTGCGGGGAATATTAAAATCAGCTGTGACTCTTAATCTGTGCTGGTAAATCTGGATTCAGAGCCAGGGAAGAATGAAGAGAGATGATAGGGGGAATATTCAGGTATTTCTTCACATCTTGCCAAACCAGTAAAGCATTAAAAACAATTATGTTGTTCTTGAGCTAATTTAACTGATCTATATTATTGATAAAAGTAAGGGAATTAAGCCTTCTGGATTCAAGACTCAACCATAAGGAGTCTTTCCTGTTCATAAACCAGTTGTGCTGACCAATTATGTACTTGTAGATTAGGCAGGGACAAGCCCCCCAAGTCCTTTGGCTTAGTAAGTATAGAGAATTTAACTCGTGCTTGTTGTTCCAAATACAGTGAGAAATATGAGAATTCAGAGAGTCTTAAAATAGGCAGCGGTCAAGTAGCACGGGAGATTTTGAAATACATAGTTCAATCGAGGGAGAATGTTCATTTTTATAGTGTTGATTCTCCCAAGGAGAGAAGTTGGAATGGAGGCCCATTTTGTCAGATCGTTCTTAAACTTTTGAATTAGGAGTGAGTAATTAGTTTCAAACAGATTATTTAAATCAGGACTGACAAAGATACCTAAGTTTTTGAAACCCCTCCTGGACACTTGAAAAGGAGATTGTATTGACATATCCTGGGGGATATTAAAGGGCGTAGCGACAGACTTCCCTGGGTTAATCTTATAACCCGACAAGTTTCTGAATGTGGCCACAGATTACCAAAACTGCTGAGATTGATTTCTCAGGTTTATTCAGATACAAGAGGACATTGTCTGCAAAGAAAGAAATAATGTGTTTTTCTTCACCTATTCTATCTCCAGATATATCAGGGTTAATTCTGATGTGCTGTCCCTTAAAATACCATTAATGGCAGGCATAAAAATTGGGTGAATCTAAGGCCAGAATTTCTCCTCTTTCCGGAATGTGCTATTGACAATCACAGGGTCACACGTGACATCCCCGTTCTGTGTTCTTATGCTATTAATTGAGCGATCACTATTTGGATTTTTCAGTTGGTGGGTAAGCAGGCGGTTGGACTTATTACCAAATTCATAATATTTCTGTTGAGTGTAAAGTACTAAAGTAAGTAAATCGCTTCTGGACGTGATGAGTATGGTCCATATTAAGTTCAGTCTTGGCAGCCACTAGTGCTGCCAAGAAGAAGACTCTTACCAGGTGAAGGAGCTGGAGAGTATGGTCAGTCAAGTGTGGGTGACTGTTTATGAATTTGCTCCACTTCTTTTTAAAGGTTTTTTCTGTTTTCCACTAAGGCTTTTTTCTGATGAGAGCTATAGGAAATAAGGTGTCCACGTAAGGGGGCTTTAGCTGCATCCGAGATTGTAGCAGGGAACACCGGAGAGCTTCTATTATCGAGCCAGACTCGCAATTCAAAAATGTAACTAGCTAGGTTCAAGGGTACATGTTGCCACAGCTTTAGAAAAATAATAAATGTAGAAAGTTTTAATCTGTTTTTTAATCACATACAATTGTAGTCAATAACAATGATACATGAGAATTCTCCCTTTTTTGAGAATAACACCACTGGCCAGTTTCACATTCTCTAACAGACCAGGGCTGTAGTACACAAGTCTGGTCTTTTGACATTTTTTTGTCTGGACTTGGTTTCATGGGTGTTTGGATGCTGACTTGTCTCAGTTGTGGCTGTCGTTCACCAATAACAATGTTTGGTCTGGACGGGCTTTTTATTTTTGCCTTTCTTGCCAAGTGTCACTGGAAATGTTAGAGGCAGATTTGAAGTAGCACGTGTGGGTGTGTATGCAAGCATGTGAGCTTTGGCAGAGATAGAGGCGGACACATAGCACCAAAAACACCAGCAAAGGAAAATGCAGAAGCAGATTTTGTGAAAATTGTGTCACAAAACTTACATCAATATATTCCATCACAGTAAGAATGTTTAATGAAATGTATGGGGTTCTTATGTAGTTTGTATGATGCTTTGGGAATATTGTTGTTATCATGCCAATAAAGCTAATTTGAATTGAAATTGAATTGAATTGAATGTCCTGTTTCTAGCACAGAGCACAACTTATTCCACAAAGTCAAGTTTTGGTTGAAATAGTATGATCTGCAGAAGGCATGCAAAGGACACAGAGAGGAGGAGCAGTGCAGTCAAAAAACAATCCTAGTTAAATAAAAATCCACCGAAAGGATGGAAACCAATGAGAAAAGAGAGACATCCAAAACAGTGAAGTAAAAGTGATAAAAATTCACCAAAAGCTGAAAGGATGGAAAGCGGTGGTTGTGATGGCGGCTGAGGCACGCAAAAATCTGAGACATAATGCTTAGAAACAGAGCTACAAAAAGGATGTCCAGAAGAAGTTGAAAGTCAGTTGTTACATGGTTTTCATGTCAACTTGGGTCGCTGTTCTGGTAACAGAATGGGGCTCTATTTTGCATCAATCTCTGACACATTCCGGTGAAACTTTTGTACTCTAAGTGGTGTCTATTTTTGTTGATAATAAAAATGTTGGTAAAAGGTCAAGCTTTCTTATCGGCTTAGGCCTTGAATTTTTTACACCACAAGCTCTGCAATGCAGAAGCCCTGCTCACAACTATCAAAAAGTGACATGCAGACCTATTCCCATTATGGTAACACAACCACAGTAACCATGTGGCATATTAAAGAATCTCAGAAGCTAACAAGCCCTTTGGCTGGAAACAGCCGGTTAACACAGTCACAACAAGCACTGCTCCCTTTAGTTATTTTGTGTTTTTGGATATAAGGGCATATAAAACACATTTTCGCATGCAGAGGAAAATTAGCCCCAACAAAAGGGCCACATCCATACCTGTAAAGACTGTGGGCTGGTAGGTCTTCTCATAATGAGCAGCTGGAAACGTTTCTTCCCCTCCACGTGTCTCCGCTGTAGTAGCAGAACAGACGGTTTTGGCTGGTTGTCGTTTGGTCTCTGTAGCACATGTTTCTGGTCGTGGGTTGGGGACAGACAACATGCTCCGCCTCTCCTTCTGCAGTCTCTCCACAGTGCGGCTCAGCTCCTGAATGGTCCTTGTCTTGGTGGCGAGCTCTTGGTTCAGCCGTTCTATCCGGACACCAAATGCTTCCTCGGCTTGACGCTGGTGTCGGCCTGGACTTGGCTGGGCCTGTAGGGGGAAAGGTTTGCATCAGTTTGTACAGGCAAGATTTCATTTTCTGTCCTTGGGTTTGCTTAATCACACACAGTGCAATATATTATATATATATATATTAATTATATATTATTATTAATATATTAATAGTCCTATATTTGAAGCATCCACAGCAAAGAATCTCACGTTTCTGTCTAAAAGTTGTGTTTAATTAATACTCCTTTCATTGACACATGTGGTAGCAATGTAGGGCAGCAATGTGGCTAAGAAGGTTAGCCAAGAAAGCTTTTTTGCATTTTAATGACCTGGGTAGCACCAGCCTTGTGTTTGAGCTGCTGGTGGAGAGACTCAATCTGGTCCTGGAGGGACTTTTCCTTGTCCTGGTGGGTTTCCTTTACACGCTGCAGCTCCTCCTCCAGTGCTCGAACCTGCGACATCCATGGCTCGGCCCCAGCTGCTGAGTGTGTTGTTTCCAGCTGATGTTTCTGTTCCAGCTGCTGCTCCAGTCCTGAGATCTGCTGCTCATAGCGAAGCTAAACAACGCACACAGACACACGTGCTGAAGCCTTTCTGTTTGTTCATTTTACAAATCAACTTTTACCCCGAAAACCCCTGGCGGCTGTTCCGCCAGTGTGTGACTGTGTGTGAATGTTAGTTTCTGTTTGAGCACTTAGGCTCAGTGAATGAATGTGAGTGAATGTTAGTTTCTGTTTGAGCACTTAGGCTCAGTGAATGAATGTGAGTGAATGGTGAATGCAGATGTAGTGTAAAAGCGCTTTGAGAGGTCAAAAAGACCAGAAAGGCGCTATACAAGTACGGAGCATTTACATTTCTATAAATAATAAATATGAATTTCCCATGCTAATTGCAAATGGAAATATTCAACCTGAAACTACAGATTTTTGTGGCCACTTGAGGGCAGTAAAAAACAAGTTACTGACATCATCATTTTGTTTTGATATAATTTATATGGTGAACTTATTTACACATCCAGCAGTTACAGAGCAACATTAGCCTCCATTTGAAGTTGTGGAGATCTCCTTTAGCTCTGTGCTGGGTCTCTATCAACTCCTGAGTAAACATCTGGCTGTTCAGCTGCTAAATGCTCCACTATGTTCACCAACTAGAGTCAAACTGTGTCTGTCTGCTGTTTGGAGCTGAGCAGGTCGTGTACAGCGTTTTTTTTTTTGAGTGGCTTGGACTGAACCACACAACACTTTTCCAGTCATGATTTGCGTCAGCTAACGTTAAATGACTTGTCCACAGACTTTCAGCTTACTTTCCAGTTCACTAAGACTATGCTGTTATTGTGATGAAAGCTACAGTAGCAGGACAGTTGTGAGTATCGCTGTCTGGAGCTGCTGTGGCTACTCTGGGACAGTCTCGTCCTCTCTGCATGTTAACTTCATGTTAGCTTCCCAGTAGCAACTGTAGCGAAGGTTTGCTAACCCACATCTTAGCTAACGTTAGTTACATTACTTGCTGTGTCATTGTTTTCTCTATATTATGTGTTTGTCATGAATGGATTTTCTCCTGAATTGCTTACCCTGATTTTAAATGTCACACTTTGCTGTCAATAGGAGTAAGTCTCTAGGTAAATGTGTCTTGTTGCTCAAGCTCAGCAAGAATTTTGTTTCTCCTAAATACTCTTCACAGCAAGTTTGATAAATACAGGCCCTGACTATGAAACTTTAACTCAGTATTACAAAACTTCACTGAGCATAGGTTACAAGCTTGCAGTGTAAAATGCTACTGTAATAATACTAACAGCAAATACATGATTAATATATTCTCCTCACACTGTCACATCATTTTAACAACTGCATCATACAGCAGAAAACTCTGTATTGACTTCAGTTATACCTTGATCCTGTGGAACTGTTGTTCCATGGCCCGCAGGCTGCGCTTGGCCTCCTCATCATGACTCTCTAGCTCAGCCTCCAGACGCTGAATCCTGCGCTCCAGCAGGGCATTGATCCCACTGGCGGGGACGTCTTGGCAGCCTCCACATCCTCTTGACCCCCAGCTGTGGCTGCAGCGTAGATCAGAGCTTGCAGGGAGTTTGGGTTTCTACATCTTAATATCTGCTCCAGCTCCTTCACCTGGTAAGAGAGAAAGACACTTAAACAGTGAAGAAACCGGAGCAGGAAGGGAGGGAGTGTAACAAGTTTGATTAGCGAGTGTGTTTGTTTGTGTGAGAAACCTGTCGCTCCAGGTCCTGCATCCTCTTAGTGTCCCCCGTTTTCTCTCTGGCCTTTCTCTGCTGCTCACTGCTTCTTTTGCCCACATCCATTTTCAGGTGTTCTACCTGAAATGCGGACATCCTGTCATTTCCAACACGGTAAGCAACGCTACTGCCCCACATCATAGCTGAACCTCCAAGGTCTCTGATCCTTCAGCAGCTGCAGCCTCACAAGGTGATGCCCACACAATAAACTGCAGGTACGCTACTGCTGACTGTACATTTACAAACATGTAACTACAGTAAATGGACAAATGATGGTTTCACCTCTGCTTCAGATTTTCAAATTGGCAGGTCTATGCTGCCCTCTCCTGGACAATACTGAAATGCAATGCATTACTTTGACTTCTGTGTCGTCATTTGAATTTTAAGTGTCAATGCAGTTGTTTTATACATTTTAAAACATCAATAATGTACAGCTACTACAAACTATCTAGCATTGTTAGAGTTTAAAGACTTAATGTTAAATCTATGGTTAGATCTCTGGTTATCTACATGCATGTAGAAGCAGCAGCAGCAGCAGCAGCCGGTAGCTTCTTCAAACTTCACTTCACATTTGTTTTTCATCTGTTTTTTCCGGCTTTATTGCTAAAACATGTGTTACATATAACAGAAATCCAGTTACTGGAAAAGGAAGAAGGGGTTTTGGACTAAAAAGCGTCGGACCATGATCCACCAGGCCCAAAAAAGTGGACCAGGCGCCATGACGGATGCGGCGATCGCTCAGAGGAGGGGAAAGGGAGCCGGGATAGGAGCCATGTTGGCCCAGCTTGGACTTAATTCTGCTCTTAAAGGTCTTGATAAAATGGGACTCATGTCCTATAGACAAAACTAAAAAAATCTATAATTTGATTTCTGTGACACCATACTCAGTCTTATCTGGGCAACATTCAGCTATCAACTTTCAGATGTGTGGACAGTTCTATTTAATTCGTCCTCATCACCAGAGAGCAAATCGCCATGCAGTCATCCACAATAAATAGAACAGTAGTTACATCTATAAGTCTCCTTTTGGACGAGAGATGGAGTGATTGAAAGCGTGCAACAGACTGTAGAGCTGCAATTATGTGAGTAAAACGCATGTTGTAACTTTGCCAGGGCAGACAGCTGTACTGAATAAAACTGAGACAGGGGTTAAAACTACAATTGGGTGTTCAGTTGCTCTTTAAATCCATAATGTTTTTGAATGATGTCATTGAATTCATCTGTGGTTGGACACTACGCTGAAAAAAGAATCCAGCAAAAAATCACCTGTCCACCTGGTATAATGGTGGGGAGCCAGGTTTTATTAAAGAGCAGGAAAACTTCACAGGAACCATGTTTTCATGGTTTATTCGATGTACATTAAAGCAAAGAATTGATAACATAACATGACAACGTAAGACGAGGAAGACCTCTATATAAATTCTGAAGGTAAATGAAATGAGAGTGAGTAAATAACTAGAATGTGATGACAGCAGAGCCTGACCTGCTCTTTGAGCCGGTGAATCTCAGCTGTAGCAGCCTTCAGTCTGCCAGCATCTCTGTCCAGCAGCTCCTGGTTCTCAGCAAACCACTGCAGCTTCTTCTTCAGGGCCGCCACTTCCTCTCTGTGCTTGTTCTCCAAGACACGAATCTCAAACGTCTTGTCTCCTGACACATTCAGGACAGATACACATTGTCAGTTAAACCAAAGATCACTACACACATAATATGATATGATATATACACATTTCAAAGAGTAATTATTTACATACAATATAATTTACAAACATATTATATTATGATACATATTGCACATTAGACAGGGTATATTTGTTTATTATTTTACAACACAGGGTTCACTTTATGCTCCCTTTATGGGAATTTTTGTCCTTTATTGGATACACAGTGGATAGATCAGGAAACGAGGTAGAGAGAGAAGGGGGTGCGACACGCAGCCAAGAACCTGGGCAATAAGGACTCGGCCGCGCGCTCTACCACATGAGATAAACCGTTCTTGGATATTTGAATTCCACCACCACTGTTCTGTGTCCAGTTTTACCTGAGGCCGACACAGCTTGAGCTTTAGCTAGGTCTCTCTCTTTCTTCAATAGCTGAAGGTCCACATCTAGAGCCTGCTTTTCTTGCTTCAGTCTGTGAATATCCTCAGACAGCCTGGCCTCATTTCTCTGCACACAGAAACATCTGTGGTAAGAGAGGGGCTGACACAGAACTCAAGTCTAACAGTATTTCAGTGATTGCGGTAGTTACCTGAAAGGTATTTATTTGAGCCAACAAGTCTGTGATGCGTTGAGTGTGATCCAATAAGCAGACGTTTCCCACAGGCCTAGAGGTTTTATTCAGCTGCTCCCTGGTGCAGATGAAAAATACCATAGAATAAACAAACACTGAACAAGACATTTCTGAAAAAAAAAGTCATTTCAAAAGGTAAATTTTATAAGAAGGCCAACATTCATTTAAATGGACATCCATATTTGGAAGTCATGCACAAGCAATAAATCATTCACAAACAGGTCACAGCTTGGATCTTTACTGAACCCACCTTGTGAAAGCCAGCTCATTTAGCAGTCTCTGGTTTTCATCAAACATGGCCTCCTCGTTGGCTTTACTGTTGGCCTGCTGAGCCTTCATCTGTAAATACAGCTTCTCGTTCTCCTGGAAAATAAACGTAGTCTTACTGCAGTCCAGTGCACAAATATTAAAAACTCCTGATGCAACAACTAGAACATGAACTCTCAATTCCCCAAGCCAACCCCCTCCAAACACCAGAGGTGGCTACAGCTGGGAACACAACCTGAACCACCGTGGTGGTAAAATTACATTTTGTCTGCATCCTTGCACAGTAACAAAGTTAACCCAAAATGTCTGCCACAAACACAGAGTCCTAGAGTTGGGAAATACAATGGATATGCAAAAACAGATTAGATGAACTCAATATCAAAGAGAAAGCCACGTACAAATTTAGGGCAGAAACGAAGAGTGAAGACAGTCACATTAAGACATAAGTATTAAGGGAAACAAACCTGCTGGTAACCTTTTATGAGCACCTCCTGCTCTTTAATTTCTTTATTCATCTGTTGGAGCTTTTCCTCTGTAGCAGAGTCAGTGGCCTCGGCCCATCTCTTCTTCTGACTGGCTTCTTCTGCACTTCGCAGCTAAGGAGTGATAAAAACACAGCTTCTTTACTACTTATTGATGTATCACTGTTGCTACTACAGCTGTCCTGATGTTTTATTGCATATAATTCATAGAAAAAATTTCTTTTACACTTTTTATTTTTATGTTAAAGTATTGTTTTCTATTTTGTTGCACATGGGCCCATTCACTGCCCATCCTCACCTATGGTCTTCCTTACTTTTCCTTCCTGTAGCCTATGCTTAAAATACCTCATTAAGCAGATATGATTATGAAAAAAAAATTCAAATACTAGTCATAGTGATGCAACTGCAGAATATACCAGTGAATAAACCTTTTCAAAAATGGCGCAGCGGATGTGAGCGGATAATGATGTTGGAAACTCTCCATGGTGTAGCACTTGGCTTCATGTCTGGTAGGCGTAGAGGTCTATCTCCCACCATTTAAAAATGTAGGGTCCTAGTAGAGAACTTCACTGTAGTTCTATATAGATATCTATCTATCTCTATATCTATCCATCTATATATATATAATAAATATAAATATAAATATAATATATATATATATATATATATATATATATATATATATTATATATATATATATAAATTAAACCATGGTTTCACTCGGTGGGAAATAATGGGATTAAATAGGCAGTTTTTCCTTGGGTAAAAGGGCTTTTAAATCATGAGGTTACCATGGTAGACAGAGCACTCAGAGGTTAATGACTCTGAGGAGTCTTTTTGGATACACTCTTCAACAGCAGCTCTGTTATGTTGCTTGTTCTGGCTGTTATATGGTGCATCAGTATTACTGATACATTGGCAGGGCTCTAATTGTAACCAGCTTGTGTTGCTTTTCTTGCTTCTCAACCTTGAAATTCTTCATTTTTTGAACTTGTTGGGCTGTTAGGTGATGTATTTACATAAGAGTGTTGTTGCAAACCAAAGTTTGTACTTTATCACACCAATGAGAACATTTTCGCACAAACCCTAAGCCTAATTCTAACCTTAACCATTTGTTGTTGTTTCAGCTGTTTTCACATATACACTATATTGCCAAATATTATGATATATTATAATGTTTTAGGACACCCCTCCGAATCACTGAATTTACAGTAGGTGTTCCAATCACTTCCATGGCCACAGGTGTATAATTGGTAGGCCAGATAAAATCAGAGCGGGGTAACAGTGCGCAGAAGTCGTCAACTTTCTGCAGAGTCAATAGCTAAAGACCTCCAAACGTCATGTGGCCTTTGGATTAGCTGAACAGCAGTGCGTAGAGAGCTTCATGGAATGGGTTTCCATGGCCGAGCACCTGGATCCAAGCCTTACATCATCAAGTGCAATGCAAAGTGTTGATGCAGTGGTGTAAAGCATGCCGCCACTGGACACTAGAGCAGTGGAGACGTGTTCTCTGGAGTGATGAATCACGCTTCTCTGTCTGGCAAGCCAGCCCATGGACGAGTCTGGGTTTGGCGGTTGCCAGGAGAACAGTACTTGCCCGACTGCATTGTGCCAAGTGAAAAGTTTGGTGGAGGGGTGATATGGTGTGGGTTTGTTTTCCCGGGGTTTGGCTTGGTCCCTTACTGCCAGTGAAAGGAACTCTTAATGCTTCAGCATACCAAGACATTTTGGACAATTCCATGCTCCCAACTTTGGCAATATAGTGTATGTAACAATGTACTAACTAAGTCACTTAAACACTGTAGGTAGTCCATCCAAAGGCAAACAAATGAGTCTACAGCCAACTGCCCTCGCTCTCACTCAAACGCTGTGTAGTAGTGCTGACCCCAAATAGTCGAAGATTCGATGCTTCGATGGGCGGAGCCTGATTCGACGATCAAGCTCACAGTCGAAGCTTCGCTGTGAAACAAGGATCATGCCATCCAACGAAGGTTAAAAAAATCAAGGGCAACTGGACTTGGTTGAAGATACTGGAAGACGTTTCGTCCCTCATCCAAAGGACTTCTTCAGTTTGGATTAGTCTGTTGGGATATGTCTATACGAACTTTGAACATCTAGACGTTGCAATATTTGATCACTCTTCTTTGCAGAACTGCTCAAGTTCAGTTAAATCTGTCTGGGCTCTGACTTGGCCATGCAAGGACATTCACCTTTTTCTCCTTCAACCACTGTGTGGTCAGTTTTGCAGTGTGCTTTGGGTCATTGTCGTGTTGGAAGGTAAATCTTCTTCCCGTTGACAACTTTCTGGCAGAGAGCA